TATTGATCGAACTCAACGATACCTGTTCAACGAAATCCTCTACCATATCTTCCAAACGATGTGGAAACGCTTCCTCTATCGTACTGTTTAGGATATCTCCAAAACCATCCCATTTCTCCAAACTTCCAGGGTCTACTCCCTGAAAACGAGAATTATGTATTCGCTCTGATGGCATTTTGCAGAGAAACATGCCATAGTATTGATTCGGAAATTAGCGAAGTCTGAGTTTGCGGGTGAACGATTCCTTTCCAAATAAGACTCCATTTGTGTCATCGCTGACAAAAGTCGTGCACGATCACAACCAGCTCTTCCTAAGCATTCGCAAACATCTTGAACGGGATACGGTATTTGAGTGAGGGTCTTGTTCCTGGAAAGCTGTGCCTTTAGAAGAATCCTGAAAACCTAAACAAGATGGGAATGGCTGCAATACTTACATGCTCAGCGCTGTTGCTATGTCGCTCAGTCCCTCAACGCCCAAGTGATTATTGTCGATTACAACCGTTCGTAAAGAGACATTCAGTTGAAGAGCCTAAACAGTGCCGTGAATTTCTAATTTCCATTATTCACTCCACTACTGACTGGTTTTTATAGAAACACCCATGAGCGCTATGTAGGCCCATAAATGTGCTAGTGCTTAGTCCTCGCCTCAACCAGTTAGTAAGCGTCCTTCCGGTTCAAGTAGTCTGCTCTGCAGCCTAAGATTTTCCCCTTTTTCGCGGCTTCACAGCAAGTAACGAAGGCGCTGTAGCCCTCATAAGTGGCAGTTCTGACGTCCTCCCTAGTTGTCCCACCCACCAAAACTCAAGGGCTATTTTCTGCCACGAGTTCAGTTTTTACATCGCAATTCGTTTTTTTTCGGCTGTTAGATGGCACTTAACTTTTATAACGCAAAGAAACGATAAGTGACGGCAGGAAATCACTCTTTGCTGCATAGTTTAAAGGAGCAGGTATGCAGACTGAGAGGCGCCGTCACAAAGAGAGCTGCAGGGGGTGGGGGGGGTTGGGCGGTCCTTAATTAGGGTGTCTCCATTTTTTTTACATTTTTTCTTTACCTGGAGAGTCCTACCTAGCGCCATATAGTTTTTGTAACCGAGGCGCCACTATCTATATAATGCAATCGCGGGGTTTGTCTTGACTGCAGCAACGAGTTCACTCTAGCACCACGACCCCGCTAGAAAAAAAAGTAGAATTAATGCGAAAAAAACCTTAGATAGTATTCTCGCTCCAAAATGTCCCAAGTCGTTATTGGATATGTCAAGTAATCGAAGAGAAGTTGTTGCTCCGAGTGTATTCAGAAGGACACTCAGATGAGGTCCGAGCCGTGCATCTGACAAGATCAACTCCTCCAGACACTAAAATATAGCAAAATACATTAAGCTAAATCTTCATCAAAGTAAGAGAAAAGCCCCAACAAACTAGTACATACAGACTCGTCCGAGAACAACTTCACTAGATCAAGAATAGTCTTATTGATAACCGCAGCATGGGCTTGCTTTGATGAACGGCGCAGTGCAAGCAAATTCGCACCACCCAAGTCCACACGACGTAAAGTTTTGATGTTGCCAAGTGCATGGATAACAGGCCTGTAAAATACAGTATTATTTCCCCATGCACTGACGCATCACGCTTATAAGAAAGAAACTTTAAACAAGAAAGTGGGCTGTATTACCTGCATTTCTGTCTCCAAGTTGTTATCCCTCAAAGAAATGCTGTTGCACTGAACACCTCCTAAACACGCTTCCAACACTGCGCTACAATTCTTTTCACAGGTGCCACTAATGTCCAGATGAAACGGCTTCAACTAAAAAAAAATCGTATTTAGTGGGATGTGAGATGATGAACAATAAGATGGAACATTTTGATACAGAAAACTTTGGAGCATTTGAAACAACTACAAACTTGATGTAGAACAGTCCATAAACGATTTTCTAGAAGCCAGGTAATCTTGAAAACAATTTCGCTCGCCCTACTAAGCACTGTTAACGCTTAACGTTTTTCGAGCCGATAGTAGCAGAGGCTTTTATGCCGCTTGAGCGATCATTCCCAAATATTTCTCAACCAGTCGGCTCGCCTCTTTCTGATACGGCCCGGCTGCGCCGGAGTATTTTCCTTCACATATTTCTAGACTCAACTGATATCCGCCTCTTGTTCTGTACTCCACTATTTTCCGGTGTCTGGAGTGCTCCAAAACTATTTCACAGATTTTTCGTCTGACTCCGCCCACCTCAGAGCAGACCCCGCCCACAATTTTTGTGCCCCACAATCTTCACCGACGACCCTCTGCTGACCTTAATCCACTTTTTTCCGGTGTCTGAAGTATTCTAGCCCCGCCGTACTCGAAGAAAGGCTCCGCCCAATTCTTGGTGCCCCACAATCCTCACCGGCGACCCTCTGCTGACCTTAATCCACTTTTTTCCGGTCTTCGGAGTGCTCTGGAACCGTGTTACAGACCTTTTTGTCTGGCTCCGCCCACCTCGAAGCAGGCTCCGCCCCCAATTTTTGTGCCCCACAATCCTCACCGGCGACCCTCTGCTGACCTTAGTCCACTTTTTTCCGGTGTCTGGAGTGTTCTGGAACCGAGCTACAAACTTTTAAAATGAATACCCTGCGATTTAGGGCAAGCTCCGCCCACTGTGGGCGGGTCTCAACACACTTTGAGCGTGCCTATATTCGCCGGATATTTACATTCTACACTGAGTTTTTTGCGACTTCCAAACACTCTCGCGAAGCAGGTTTTTACTGAATTTTGCGAGAAGCACCGCCCACCTTGAGTACGCCCCGCCCATTTAGGGTGTACCTGCCACAGTTAGTCTGGCGACTCCTTACTAACCTTAGTCCCTTTTTCCCCCCATCTTTAAGCTGCTCCGGAAGCGAATTATGAACATTTTTCTACGAAAAGAGTCACTGATCTTCAACTTCCAAGAGACTAGCCGAAAGGTTAGCCCAATAAAGTGATTCAACTTCTTGGTTATGGCTACAGAAAATCACTGAAGACGAACCATTTCTGCCTTTTTTTCACTGGTATAGAGCAAAAAAATTGGTAAGTGACGTAGAAAAACCTTGTAACCAAATGTACCTGTTGGTTACTAGCCAATCCAAGAAGCATTGCTTTCATCAGTTCTGCTGGTAATATCGTATTAACAAAGTTGATGACAGACAAATTCACAGCCATCGAGAAAAATTCCTTCACTTGCTAAAATCAACGCAAAAGAACTTATTTCTTAAAACTTATAAGATTCTCTCAAGTATAATTTCATATGATATTTCTCAGTATACAAACCTGTGCACACTCAGCGGCTTTCTTCCCAGCATAGCATCCACCGAGATAAAGTTTTTCTATCTGAAGGCCTCCATATTTCAGTGCAGATATATTTTTATCAGGCGGGAAGCCGGTATCAGTTAAGTCCAAGACCCGCAGAGTGGTGCACAAGGAAACCACATTGACCAGTGAAGACACCTTAATGGAAAGTTTAGGAACGAAATGAATATCCTAGGCAATTGTTTTGACAGGTGTCCTGCACAATTTTTTCTATAACAACCCCAGAATGCTGCTTTTATTTCGTTACATATCGTTCACTGGAGTCATTCAGTGCCATAATCGCGACAAGAAAACGCTCAGTGGCTCCTCACCATAAGTTACACGCAGAATCCTTACTGCAAAAATCGTTGTAAACTCATGAATGGAAGTTATTCGGCGCACCACTCACAAATATGACATTCACTATCAGTGCGTGCAGCATTTGAATAGCACAGGACAAACCGTTCATGTAATTCAGCAGCCTTATTTAGAAAAGTCATGTCGTCTGGCTTGCTCTGCAACAAGCTTTCGTTCTTCAATTGGCTCTCTCATGGGAGCGACCAAGCTTCACTTGCATTTAGAATCGTGGTAGCACTATGAAAGCAACCTGATACTGCACAAAAAAACATCAGACCCCGGGATTCAAGGCTCGGTTGGCCTTGGCGGAAGCCCAGTGCACTCATACATTGCGTCAGCGTTTTCAGCGCTCATCAGCGTTTTGAGCGACTATGATAGTGTGGCTATCCCCACTTATCTCTACATCACCTCCGCCCTGATTCTTTGCTCAAATGAGTATGCGAGTGATATCCGCGTTCAATGATGCACGGAGGTTTTGGATCAGAGGTCGGACATGGTGAGCGACAGAGCAAAACGACAGACATCAACACGGGCGGAATCGCCTGCGTACAGGAGCCACTTGAGCAACCTCGGGTTCTAACGTTCTTAATTTACGACCTTCGGACTAAAAACTAGCACAGGCTTGTCCACTGTGGCCAGTTCTACTTTTTCCCCACGCAAGGCTTTGATTGTTATAAATCGCGAAATATGCCTTTGAGTCCATAGTAAATATGATGAAAAAGGTATGTGTCCACAGAAAATCACAATCGCGCTCAGGAAATGAGTAAGCGAAATTTCAGCAGAATATTTCCGAGTTCTGGGATTGTAACAGCGATAAAGTGCCGCAGAACTCCTTAGCAACTCACATCATCCTTCAAAACATTTGTGGAGAAGTTTAACTCTGTTAAACTCGGTATTGCTCCACTGTTGGATTTTGCCGTCAATGCACTGAAATTATGAGAAAAACATCATTTCATGGCATTCACGTCAGCTGATCGTGACGGCAGATTAAAAACTGAATGTTCGTGAATCATGAACAACAGCATGAAACAACGAATGAATAATGAATAGAAACTTACGAATAAATTCCACTGCAGAACAACTGTGAACACTTTTCACTGAGACCACATTCAGAAAAATTCACTTGACGCAGGGAGGTCAATCGTGGGAGAACTCC